AGTGCCCCTTTAAATTTGAAGCTTGTAGCTGTTTAGAAGAGCTCAGCAGTTCGTTGACATTTGTTTAGGTTTTAAAGTCACACAGTGGTGACTTTCCTTATTTTAGTGTTCTTGGGGATCTAATTATCCAGTAGTTTAAAACGGTTAGAATTAAGGTAAAATCCATGTTTGGAGTTGGCTGTAAAGACGTGTGGAAAACAACGAGTCGAATTAACAAACTAACAACGAGGTCACGGAAGCAGCCTGCTAGTAACAACATGGGAAAACTAACATTGTTGTAAGGTGCTTTTATAAAGTTTAGTGGTCGAGAAAGAGAGCACAGTTCAGACCAATTTAAATTGCTTTCTGTGAAAGCGCCAATTTAGCTATGCGTGTATATTGTCTGTCTTATAATGTTATTGTTGCATTTTCTCTAGAGAAAAATTACATCCTTCCAAAAATTAAGTTTACTTTGATGACAGAAGTAAAGTATTATACAACAAAATATTATAACAGGGCCAAACAGTATACCGCTTATTCTCGTTAATTGTTTAATTGTGAGCAATGTAATAGTAGCCCAACACCTGTGGCACATCTAGAAGTAGGGGCTTAGCCAAATTTATTCTTTGTGCGCTATGGATATGATTTAAGGAGCTATGTCACAGTATGTCAGGAAAACCGAAAAGAAATATGGATGAAGAAGATGGGAAAACTAAAAGGTGCAAACAACTTTTTTTAATGTAGAAGTCATAAAATATCATCGTAATTGTAGTAGTCGTGATGTGTAGCATATTAGGTTAGTTAAAGCATGATGACACTGTACATCTGGTACAGATAAGTATACAAAGATGAAAGGTAAAAGGGTTTAACAATGGCTTCAGATAGAATGCAGGAGCACCCAACTGATCGTTGAATTATCTGTTCGGAAGACCTTTTATCCCGTCTGATATTCTTAAGAGAATTGTCACCTCAAACCAGGCTACCAGTTAAAGGTCGGCTACGATTTTCGGAAAGTTAATCTTAGACCTAAGGTTTTCGGTAAATGGACAAAAAGGCCATAAATAAATTCGACTGAGAAGACTTGCGTTACCCTAGAATGACCGAACAGATAGAAAATTTAAAAGCGCAGCGTTACATTAACTTACAGAGCTTTAAGAGCACTCCAGATAGCCTAAAACAGCATTTTTCAAAATGCTGTAAAACCATTGTTGGGTGCCCCTGAGATTGATTGTTGATTATGTGTAATTAGAAAACTGACAATAATATACGAACAATAAACCAAGCAATTGAGTAGTTGAAAATTCAATTCAATGTAAGTAAGTGATTATATTAAGCAATGAAAATTAGATGGACGTATCAATGGTAGATTATAAACTGGTTAAGGCGCGGAACGTATGTATTCAACCAGTCCAGGAGCCCATGGGCTCCTGACCAGTCCTATTACGTTAGTTTTAAGAAAAATGCAGTAAGTTATGTATTGTATTTCATCTGTCTCCAATTAGTGTCGTTGGCGCAAGAACGACCAGACGCTTTGAAAAAGGATAAGTATGTATGTGTAATCAATGTATGTACAGGTGTGATTAATAGCATAAGGAGTGCTAGTTTTAAATGCGCTGTACTTTTAACTTAAGTGACAATAAAAATATGAAAAAAGTAATCACTGGAATAGCAACTAGCTATATTACGGATATCACAGAGCAACAATTTCCAAGTTATGGCTTTTATCAGTAGCTTATTTTGAAAACTGAAATATTCAGCCTCAGAATTACGCGTTTCAGTGCGAACGGCAGATTGCTATTGTGTCTTTACTTTCCGTCGAATTACTACAGTAAATCCATCAGAAAATAGGAAATAACTCACTTGTTCCTCTCGAAGACAAACCTGCATGGAATCACTTTCACATACGGGATATGTTAGACAACAAAAGTGGGATCTATGCCTTTCTCTGGCAAAAAACGTCATGCTTACTTTTTCAGTGGCGATAACATTTGTACACGCCATTTTATGGAGCGCGAGTTATAATTTTTTAGAAGTCTTTCTTATTTTTATGTCCCTCTGGTCAGTTGTTAGTCGACCTTGATGAATTTCACTGTAGCACCTGTCGTAAACTTCTAAAAAATAGTTTTAGCGGCCCTCTTTGGTCGTTGTTTCTGTCGTTCGAAGAATGATTATAAGCAAGAATTGCACGAAGAAATGAACCTCGATAATAATAATAATAATAATAATAGTAATGATAATGATAATGATAATGATAATGATAATGATAATAACAGTATTAATTTTTTTATAGCGCAACTTTCCATGAAATGATCAATTGCGCTTTGCATCGTCTTACGATCACCTTATTATTGAGAGTACACCAGTACACCAGAGAGTACACCAGTACATTTACTTCAGGGCTGTGCCCTTAAGGTACCGTATTTATTCGATTAAGCGCCCAGGGCGCTTATTTAATTTTTGGACTTTCAGGATGGGCGCTTATTCGAGGTGGGCGCTTATTCGAGGCTGGGCGCTTATGAAATTTTCACCATTTTCAGTAAGTAAAAAGAACAAAACATGACAAAATATTAAAGCATATAAATTGTAACTGTTCATTGTTCGGTTTATGCCCAGGACTAACAACTCATTGTTCGGTCTACTCTTTAGCTATCATATTCATAATTCTCAATCAACATCGTATAATTTTCAGACAATGAAACTAGAGATTGTAAGCCATTAAAGAAATACCGTAATAATCAATATCCGTATTCCTCTGGTGCACTTTCTTCTTCTTCTTCTTCTTCTTCTTCTTCTTCTTCTTCTTCTTCTTCTTCTTCTTCTTCTTCTTCTTNATTGAATTAATATTTTAGACTTCTTTTTTATTTTAAGAGGACCCTCCCGAAAACCACCTCTAGGTGATTGGAGGGCCTGCTCTTAAAATACTAATTTATTTATTTATTATTATTATTATTTTTGTGGGGTAGGGGGGTGGGGGTGGGCGCTTATTCGAGGTTGGGCGTTTAATCGAATAAATACGGTAATTAAATGCAGAACAGCCAGGTTGTCCATGTTTTTGTTTTTCACTGGATTATCTCGAAGTGGAGATATTTGAAGCAATGACGGAACCTACTGGCGGAATTTGTTTCCAAAGGAAACTGAAAATGGTGAAAATTTAATTATCAGGCAACTTCTCGTCACTTCCGACCCCGCATAAGGTAGACATTTCTTAGATAATCAGGCATGAGTGATGCTGCCATCAATAAAACAGTGAAGAAAAGTACAGAACCTAAAAAAAGGTAAGGGAAAAGTACTTCTTGCCGTTTTTCTTGCTAGGGAAAGTTATTAGGATTAGCCTTAGTCACTTAAAGTTAATATTTAACACAGTGGAGTCCCGCTTTTTTCCAACCTCCACGGGAGACGAAAATTGGTTCTAAAAAATCAGGTAGCGCGAGAAATCGGGGATAAGATTCAGTGCTTGACTGAGGGGAGAATAACAACTTTTGGTTCGAGGAGGTTTGAAAATCGAGGGTTCGAGAAATTGTGATTCCAGTGTAGTTCAAAGAACAAGGAAAGGAACTTACATGTACACACCATTACTGTTTGAAAACTTACGAGACAACAGACTATTTTCCCAGCGCTTTTCATTGTGTTATCTGCATCATCAGCCAGTTTAAAATACTTACTTCAACAACGTTTCGTCGAAGAATAGACTCAATTTTCAGGAGATTCAACGTTTTACAAACTATGGACCAACTTATTCCACTGTGTTTGAAGTTTTTCAGCCAGAGTATTTTGGTGCGATGGAATTCGAAAGTTCTGTTGGTCCACACCTAATACTTAATAAGATGATAAATTAAGCCGGATCATCCATAACCCTAATTTCATTATATTGACGTTCTTCATTGTTTACCTCAAAGAAAGCGCTATAGTTTATTAAATTCTTAGGCGCGTTTTTCTCCGCTAACGTCAGGTCCTAGAGTACTATACTATCGCAGATATGTAGACGATATTATTTGCTGTTTTAGAAACAGTGAACATGCCAATATGTTTTTTGAATACCTTAACATGTGCCATCCTAACATCAAGTTCACAATGGAAACAGAGGAAAAAGGTCAATTGTCATTTTTAGATGTATTGTTATCGAAGCAGAGCACTAGTGACAATCAATGTTTTTGTGTCACTTCTGTTTTTCGGAAGAAGACTTACACTGGTTTACTAACTAATTTTTTTTAGCTTTACTCCCTGTAAGTGCAAATTAGGTTTAATTAAAACTCTTAGAGACAGAGACTACAAAATTAACAACACTACTCAGGGCTTTCAAACTGACATAAAAAACCTTTCTTTTATTTTCAAACCTAATTTGTTTCCAAGTTGGCTAATTGACAAGTCGGTTAAGGGTTATCTCAAAAAGATCAAAACCACAGAACAGGATGTAGATACTGCAACATCTGACACATCCAAATGCCATTTTTATAAACTACCATATATTGGTTTTTATTCTACCTACACAGGGAAGAAAATTTCATCTATTATTAATAAGTATTGCAAAGATTTAAATGTAAAAGTTATATTCTCTCCTGTCGAACTTTGCAGTATGTTTAGTCCTAAAGATTTTATTCCCGAGTCTCTTAAATCACGTGTTGTGTACCAGTTTACGTGTGCGAGCTGTGGAGCTCGTNTTAGGTTTAATTAAAACTCTCATAGACAGAGCCTACAAAATTAACAACACTACTCAGGGCTTTCAAAATGACATCAAAAACCTTTCTGTTATTTTGAAATGAAATTTGTTTCCAAGTTGGCTTATTGACAAGTCGGTTAAGGGTTATCTCAAAAAGATCAAAACCACAGAACAGGATGTAGATACTGCAACATCTGACACATCCAGATGCCATTTTTATAAACTACCATATATTGGTTTTTATTCTACCTGCACAGGGAAGAAAATTTCACCTATTATACATGTTTACCAATATAACAGCACACTTTTCAGAGGATAGGTATTAGTTGTGGGTTACTAGACTTAAATACACTCTAAGCTGGTTTATTTTATTAATTTTTTTAATATATGAGTGGATTGGTTAGAACCAACCATTTCATGGCTAAATTTATTCCACATTGAACAGAGCACCTGAGAAGGAAAAAGTGATCAACAGTCTTCAAACTGAATATATGGATCTTGAAACTAAGCCCTCTCAGGAATGGAAAAAAGATGAGGACAGCATCAAGGACACCCTGAATGAACTTGAGAATGAAGTAGGAAATATCAGCAGAGAGGTGGATGATTTTACAACAATTGATACCTCTACGAAAGGTTAGTTTTTTAGTTCCAGTGACTGTGCACTCTGGTGATCAGTAACGTTCCTAAGGAGATCTTAACTTAGAGGGGAGTATGCTGAACCCACCACCTCTTTGGCCTTTGCCAAAGCACCTGTTTGTTATTTACAGCCACCCTCAATCAGCAGGGTAACACAAATGTGCATTTGTGCCTAGTGGCCCATGAAGCTTGTGTTTATCCCCTTTTTCCATAGCATGAAGGAACTTTACACATAGTAGTATTTCCACTCCCCCCCCCNTGTAAAACTTTGAAATCCTATATTGGAATCGTATATTTAAAAAAAAAAACTACTTTCTAGGGCGAAATTATTCCAAATCAATGTGTTTAATATTATGCTTCAATAACAAAGAAGACCACATAATGTACTTGTCAAAACAGTCTATCCTGTGTCAAAGTCTTTTAACCCTCGGACGTACAAGGTTGTTAATGCCTGATGTATTTACCGTGTTTTTAAATAAAAATGATGATGGTGATGGAGCGAACTCATAGTTTCCCCCCCCCCCCCCCCTGTGGTGCAAGGTGGGGAGGGGTGGATGAAACCCCTCCCCTGGGTTTTCGTTCTCTTAGGGCACAGCGAAATAAATTTACATCGATTAGATAGCCCTGTCTAAGGTTGCTCTACAAAATGAAACCATTTTTGTTAATTATGACGTCATTTGACACGCCATCTTGGATCCGCCATCTTGGATCCGCCATCTTGGATCCGCCATCTTGGATCCGCCATCTTGGATTTCACTATTTTCTTAAAAAGTCAAGAAGAAATGGAAATTATCGCAAAATCAAGCCGGAAAGCTTATGAAATATTCAAAATACAGAATTATGTCAAAATTTGTCGCTGCCATGGCAACATCAAAGACGATGCACACACGCAGTTGACCAATAGAGTAAATCGCCTTTCCAAAACTCAAAAAAACTCTTATGGGGCATTCACCCCCCCCCCCCCCCCCCCCCCTTGGATAGGATGCTATTTCATGGCAGTGTCCAGTATTTAATTTGCCTGTACCCTTGCGATTATTCAAGAGAGGTTTAAATTCCAACCTTGGGGTTAACCTGTCTCTTCCCTTGTTTTCCTTCTGTTTGATTTTGTTTCCCTGGCTAGTCAAAGATGCCTTTGGGTCAGTTGGTTATGGAGCATACCTCCACCCTCACTGGTTTAATTTAGTGGTAAATGATTCTCTAAGCACCGACTTGTGTCGTCCCTAGATATATGCATTATAGGTGGCAGGTACTTTTTCCCATCTACTCAGCTTTTAATTGTGCTGTATGGAGATCCTTGTGGAGCAGTAGACATGCATGTTTTTCCTATGATAACCATGCAGTGGTCTACATTATCAACACTTAGAGCTCCAAATCCCTTGCATTGATCATGGAACTCCTTACATCCATTACCTTTCTCACCCTCCTACCTCATTTCAACCTAACAACAGTTCACTTAGTAGGCCTCCAGAATGGTGTTAATGACTCCCATTCTTGTTTCCAGAAAGAAGGTTTCAGGGAGCTACCACCAGACACCTTTTCTACTGGCTACTCCATCCTGAAATATCTAACTCGTATCAAAAAAATAAAGTCTCCACCCACCTATGGGGCTCCCTGGCACCTTCCAATTGAAGAACTTGGCCACCAGTAGAAAAGATTTTTCCTCTTCTGTTTGAAATATGTTCTAGTCACACCAGCCACCCCTTACCTCTTTGCTAGGGAGGTTAATTTGATTTATTTAGTTTCCCACTTAGTCAAATATGTTAAGTTTCACGCCATTAATTTAAAGTTTATATAGCAGTGACACACAATGTACCTGTGGAGTTCAATAATGCAATGTCAATGACACTGCCACTTGTTGCCTCCAAACACCCTGTGTACAAAGCAACCTGCCTGAGGTTTCTAACAGGCTGCTGCTTTGCATTATCATGGGTGAGGTAACTATTTGCCACCTTAGTCATACAGCTCTCTCTTAGCTAAGCAGCCTCGAGTCCCACACTGAGCTGAAGTGATGCCACATTGCCTTAGCTTGGCTGAGAAACGGTGGTCACATCCACTTCCTGTTGGCATCATTCCTCCAAAAGCTTGGAATAGGTACATAATAATAATAATAATAATGATAATAATAATAATAATAACAATAATAATAATAATAATAATAATGATAATGATGATAATAGTAATGATGATAATAATGATAAAAATGATAATGATTATGATATTAGTGATAATAATGATAATGATGATAATGATAATGATGATAATGATGATAATAATATGTTTCTAACCACATTATTTCATGAATTAATTTGTAGATGCCATAAGAAATAGCCAACAAGTCAACAGTCCAAATGGCATATCGCAGGACCTGTCATCCCAAACAGGAAATGTTCATGATGAGGAAGAAGCTATGATTGCACATGCAAGTGATCAATTCACACATCATGATCCTTTGGGAGCTCATGATGATAAACATGGCAGTGAACAATCTCGTAGACATCGTCGTCGGGGCAAAAGCCATTCTTCAGGGCATCGTACTCCTGTTAGCAACCCCACCCAAAATGGTAAAGACCAAGAACAGAGAACGGCTCCATGTAAAGCCACAGCTAATCCCTCTACAAAAGGTAAGTATATTAGTTCTAGTCATTGTGTACTCTGCCATCAGTAATTTTCTTAATCGGAGATGAATATGCTGAACTCACCACCTCTTTGGCTTTTTCCGAAGCTCTGTTTGTTATTTACTACCACTCTCGATCAGCAGAGTAGCAAAAACTTGCATTGGAGCTAGTTGCTTACTAAGCTTATGTTTATTCCCCTTTTCCACAACAGGAACTAAACTCATAGTAGTATTTCCACTCCTCCTTGAATTGGATGCTGGTCCACAGCTGACCCCAGTATTTAATTTACTTGCACCCATCTGATTGTTCAAAAGAAGGTTATCCTAGTAGCGGGTCAAATCTACTTAACCTGTGGTTAATGTTTAGCCGAATTGAACCTTATGCTCCCTGCTATTGTGTTTTTCTGCTGATCAATTTATTCTACAGGTACCGTTATCTGCTCTCTGTTCTTAACAGCTTATTAAATGATAAGCCCACACATGCACCCTTTCTCTTTGACATGCTGTCTGATGTTTTTTAATTGGATTATCCATAACAAACTTAAACTCCCTGGAGTCATGCACATCCTAGATGACTTGTACCAAGCGTTTCAAGGCCCTGTCACCTATTAACCTTATTTACTGACCTGGATATCACTTTAGCAGTGGGAAAGACCTTTTGCCTCTCTTCAGTACTTAAATTCATGGGAACCCTACCAGACTCCTCCCTGCCGGGAAGCCAGATTCACAGACAGCAAGCTGACCAGGTTCCATTTCTTTGTCCCCACCTGGCACTCTAAAACCAGCTGTCACTTTAGCAGCCTCAAATTGTTCATCGGGTCCCTTCATTTTAGACCCAAAGTTATTGTCCCTGGCAGGTTTTTTCTCCGATGAATGATTTCCTAGGTTTATCTAATCTCAGCTCCTTTGTCTACGTCAGCAAGGAGTTTCAAAAAGATCTTTGTATGTGGGCTCACTTCGTGGCCTCCTGGAATTGGGTTCACCTGTTTCTGCCACCGTTTTCTTTCAGTTCCCATTTTGTTTCTCTAGTCACAGATGCCTCTGGGTTAATTGGTTAGGGAGCATAACTCCACCCCCACTGGCTTAATGGTGAATGGTTCCCACATCACCAACCTGCATCCTCCCCAGATATAAGTATTACTTGGCAGAAACCTTTCCCCATCTACTAAGCTTGTGCCATGTGAGAGTCTGTGGCACAATAGCCATGTACGTTCCTCCTTTGATAACTCAGCAGGGGTGTCAATTATCAACACTTAGAGCTCCAAAATCCTTCACATCATGGATTGCCTTAGGCCCATTACCCTTTTCTCACTCCAGCTTAATTTCACCGTAACAGAAGATCACTTAGCGGGCCTCCAGAATGGTGTTGCTGACTCTGTTTCTTCTTTCCAGATGGAACATTTTAGGAAGATGGGACAGACGTCTTGACCTACCTATGGGGTGGGGCCCCCCAGCACCTCCTTGAAGAACTTATGCATCATGAGAAACGCAGTTAATCCTCTTCTGTCTGAAATACGGTCTAATTGCACCTGCACATTTTGTTTCCTGTTTAGCTGAATGTGTTACGTTTTGCACCATTGAAGTTTTCTTACTCTGCAAGTAAATTGTGGGTTGTTGCTACGCAATTACCTAGCAGCGACCCACAATTTACTTGTAGAGTTCAACAGCAACCTCAACTTGTCCACCTTGTGCCACCTCCAAAACAATCTCCATGGGATCAAATATACCCTTGGGTTATCCAGACGAAACCGTCATCCCATTACTCTTTTCATTCTCGAAAGCGGTTTTAAACTTCTTACCCCTAACTAGTCACTTGATATTGATACGGTAATGCTTTGGGCTGTTCTAGCCTTCCTTGGCCTCTTTTGGGAGGAGTGGTGGCTTTATGGTTGGTGACCAGATCAAGCGGCCCAGGTTTGATCCCTGGCGGGAGACATTGTGTTGTGTTCTTGGGCAAGACACTCTCACAGTGGCTCTCTCCTCCCAGGTGTACAAATGGGTATCTGTGTTACATAATACTGGGGGTAACCTCCTGGGAGGACTCCCATATAAAAAGTATGGGGGTGCTCGTTGTACCTTTTAGGGGTTAAATAAGTGGTTTTGGTACCTGTTAGGGTGTTCAGCCTCAGAAGGTCCACAGCGGGAGCTTTTGTGGCACCTTTTAAGGTATTTAGCTGAAAAAATGTGACAGGAGATAATGTTTTGTTTTAGAATTGGTACCTCTTAGGGGTGAAAAAAGTTTCAAGCCGCGCCCACAAAACAGGATCTTGGTACCTCTTAAAGGTTCTTTTCAAAATTTCTGACGAGCACCGTGGTTCTTTTTATATGTGAGTGTCCCCCCTCCCCCAACAGTAACCCTGCAATAGACTAGCATTCCAACTACCAACAACCCTTCAGTCTCACATCCACTTCCCCACACTATCATCCCACCAGGAGCTTGGCATAGGTACACACCACTCTGCCTCTGCTTTGTGACTCTCGTCTCATGGTCTTATATGCCACCCCGACTTGTTGACATTAGCCCAAGTACAGGCCTTGCATGCAGCAGGCTGCTCTCAGGTCCAGGACAACCTCCTACTTTCTCCCACATAAAAGTGATGCCTTGGAGCTGACTGGCTTATAGCTGCCAGAGCTTATCCCGGTTTCTGTAGCATGAACCAGCTAGAAGTATTTTCACTTCCCCTGGCCAGGATGCTAGTCCATCACAGGTCACTCCCCGTAATTTGTTAGGTTTCCTGTAAGAGTTAAGTGTCTTTTCCAAGCACACAACACAGTGTCCCTGGCCAGGGCTCGGACCCGGAATGCTCGATTTGGGGATGAGCGCACTAATCATGAGGCCACCGCCTCCACTATGTCTCCCACATAAACTTTCTTTTTATTATGTGTGACATCTAGTTGGTGTTCGTAAGACAGCATTTTCGAAAATATCATCGTGAATGGGAGAAGGGTTGCTCTTTGACTTAGTCCTCTTCACTCCGACTGGAGCATAGGGCCTCCACTGCAGCTTTTCATTGGACCTTCTTTTGTGCAGTTCGTTTCACTTGTATCCATAACATCCTGTAGTCCTCGTGCTCCTGCTGTATAGTCTTCCTTCATGACTTCTTAATTTGGTCTGCGTTTCCTCCTAGTCACCTAAGGTTTCCTCTCAAGGGACAGTTGATGTTGGTGGCAGGTTTCCTCAGAGTGTGGCTGATCCATCTCCATTTCCATCTCCGTATGGTAGCTTCAATCTTCTCCTGCTTGGTGGGCTACCACAACTCCTCATTGGAGCTCTTCCTTGGCCACCACTCCCCTAAGATGTACTGTAGCCTATGGTTGCTGAGGGTCTGATGTTGGTCGATGATCTTCTTTGTTTGTCACCAGGTATCAGATCCATAAAGCAGAACCGACTTTAAGTTGGAATTGAATATCCTTGTCTTCGTTCACAGAGAGATGAACTTTGATCTCCATATTGCTCTTAAAATAGAGAATGCAGCTTGTGCCTTCCTGCAGCTGGCCTCGACATCTTTCTCAGTACTGCCAGTGGTGGTAAGGCTGCCAAGATACTGAAGGCATTATCACCAGGAGCTTGACGAGATACCCAGTCTAGCGCCACGAGGAAGAGAAGTGAGCTGAGCAGGCAGCCCTGGCGGACTCCAGTACCCATGCTGAAGGGCTTTGTCATATTACCATCATGCGCAATCTTTGTTTGTAAGCCATCGTAAAAGACCCGGATCATCTTCACGGTTTTCTCAGGGATCCTGTAGTACTACAAGATCTTCCAGAATCAGATGCGTTTTCAAAGTCTACAAAAGCCTGTGATCCATTCCAAGGTCTGCTCTCACGATAATCTTCAGTGTGGCAATTTGGTCACAGCAGGATCTCTCCTTGCAACATCGTGCTTGCTCCTCCTGAAGTCTGTCCAAAAGAACTTTGCTTGCAACAGAGAGGAGAGCATAATGCCTCTCCAATTCTTACACAGGGACAGATCTCCCTTCTTGGGAAGTTTACCCAGCAGGCCCAGCTTCCAATCCTGAGGGATGACCTCCTCATTCCAGATCTTATTGAGGAGGGAATGGAGAACCTTGGATGAAACCAGTCCTCCCTCCGTCCAGGCCACTGGGGGGATGTTGTCAAAACCAAACAGTTTTCCTGTTCTTTAGAGCTTTCAACTGTCTCTTGACCTTTACCATGGTGACATGTCCTGCTCGGATGCCTAACGATGGCTGTTCAGTAAGATCTGGCAGATTCTCTGGTGCTGGCTGTCCAAGACTTCCTGGAAGTATTCCTTCCATCGGTTAAGTTGGTCATCTGTCCTGGTCAGCACCACACTGTTTTTATGCTTAACCGGTTTGCTCTGGACAGTTCTTCACCCACTAAGCACCCTTGTAGTGTCATACACCTTCTTCACATCCCTTTGCTCTGCTGCTACCTCTGCTTCATGTGCAATTTCATCAATTCTCCTCTTGTCTCTCCTACAGCTTCTCTTTACTTTGTGATTCTTTTTGTTGTACATGTTTGCTGCAGCCATCTTCTGCTTTCTGGACTTTGCAGTTCCTAGCTTTCCTTTCAGTGCACGTCTCTTCTCGACATGTTTCCAGGTGTCCTCACTCATGAATGCCTTCCTCTCTCTCCTGGCCTTTCCAAATACGTCCTCTCTGATCTTGCTTCACTCCTGCTCAGCATCTAGCTCTACCTCCTCTTCATCATCCGACCCATTGCAGGTGGCATCTTGCCTTTTGGCCAGTTTAATTACAAACTCATATCTCACACTTTGGTCTCTGAACCTGTATGTGTAGTATTTCCTTCGTGTTGAACTAGGCTTCTTCAAGGCCAACAGCTTCATCTTGACCTCCGCCACAACTAGGAGGTAGTTTGATCCTACATCCGCATTGTATTTTACCCTACTGTCCTGTAGCGATCTGCTTATAGCCACATGGTCAATCTTTTTCTCAGAGGTCCCGTTAGGAGATCTCCATGTGAGCCTGTGAGATTTCTTGTGTGGGAAGAGTGTTCTCCCGATTACAAGCTCATTTGATGCACAGAAGTCACAGAAAATTTTGCCATTCTCATTGGTCACTCTTTATAGATGCCTCCCAATACCTATTGTCTGAGGCCACCTTCACATTAAAGTCGCCGATAACCATGATAAGGTCTCTCGCCTTCCTTTTGCTGAAGGCAGTTTGAAGCTGGTGGTAAAAGTCTTCCTTCACTTCCTGCTCAGCCTTACTGGTTGATGCGTAGACCTGAATGATTATGGTGTTCTGGCACTTAGACTCAAATCTAGCAGAGAAAATCTGCTCAGACATTGGCGCTCCCACTCCTTTAAGCTCTTTCTGGCCTCCTCTGACAAGATCAATGCAGCACCTTTTTCATGTGGCGCATCATCACCTGCCAGACCAGTATAGAGTATCGTCTTTTCAGCTGCCAAATGGACCACGTTCCAACCTTCTCATTTCCTTTGCAACTTGGTGTAAGGTTGCTATTTGCTACTATATTTAATGATATTAACGATATTTTCGTTTCGTTTGGTATCGAATCGTATCGTAACTATGACATTAAGTTTCTAAGCACATTATTTCACGGATTACTTTACAGATGCCTTAGCAAATGGCCGACAAGTTGACGGCTCAAATGGCATATCACAGGACCAGTTACTCCAAAAAAGAAACGTTCATGATGAGCAAGGAGCTATAGTTCCACATGCAAGTGATACATTCACGCATCATGATCGTTTAGGAGCTTGTGCTGATAAAAATGGCAGTGAACAGTCTCGACGACATCGTCATCGGAGCAAAAGCCATTCCTCAGGGAGCTGTATTCCCGTTGGCAACCGCTCAAGAAAGGGTAAAGACCAAGAACCTAGAAGGACACGTAAAGAGACAGCTAATACCTCTAGGAAAGGTAAGTTTATTATTTCTAATTGTTGTGCACTCTGCCACGATAAAAATGTTCCTAAGGAACTCGGAGAGGAATATGCTGAAATCACCTCCTATTTGGCTTTTTCCAAAGCTCTGCTTTGTTATTTACAACCACTATCAATCAGCAGAGTAGCAAAAATATGCATTGGAACGTAGTGGCCTATTAAGCTCGTGTTTGATCTGTTGTAAGTGCTTTTTTGCTAATCGTTTTATTGCACAGGTACCCTTATCTGTCCTGTATCCTTATCGACAAATAAAATGATTAGCTGGCACATGCACCCTCTCTCGTTAACATGCTTTCTGATGTTTTGGAATGGATTAGCCATAACAAAGTCAACTTCCCTGAAGTCATACACATCCTGGATGATTTCTTGTTGCAAATGTTTCACCGACCTATGTCACCTATTAAGACGGATTTCCCTCAAAGTTCGAGCAATAAGTGCGAAAATTATTTACTAAAAATCTACTCACAGCAAGGTAACTTTTGGAATACTATTTAAAACAACTCAATTTAGTGAATTTCTCTAAGTGACCCCGCGATTAAATTCTCAAACATTCTCGAGAAAGTGAAAGTCAAAGCTCGTAAGAATGCTTAAAGCGTGTGTTATTGTGTTTTAAACTAACGCGCAATGTCTGTTTTAATTGAAATATGGATAACTTCAAGTGCAATTTTCTCTCGTGGGGTCAGCTTGAGAGCTTTAGTCTCGATAAGTTCTTTACTGTGTTCAGAATATTACCATGTTATGAGGGTTTTTTGGTAACTTAATTTTTGCCATCATTGCTCGAATGTACTGGGGAAATCATCTTAAACTTTATTTACTGACCTGCATATCGCTCTAGCAGCGGGAAAGAACTTTTTCCCCTCTTCACGACTAATATTCATGGGAATCCTACTAGACTCCTCGCTAATGGAAGCCAAACTCGCATACAGCAAGCTCACCGGGCTCTGTTCCTTTGTCTCCTTGGCAGCCTCCAATTACTTATCAGTCCCTTCATTTTAGACGTGACGTTACTGCCTCTGGCTTCTCTTTTCTTCAATTCATAATTTCCCTAACCCGGGCTTATCTCATTCCAGCTCCTCTCTCTGCCTCAGCAAGGAATTTCAAACATAGCTGGACATGGACACTTCCTGGCTTCCTGGAATGGGTTTCACCTGTTTCTACCCCTGTTTTCTTTCTGTTCCGATTTTGTTTCCCTAGTCACACACCCCAACAATCACTGGTTTAATGGTAACTGATTCCCTCAGCAGTGACGTGCGTCTTCCCCAGAAGTGAGCATTGCCTGGCAGGAACATTTCTCATCTACTTAGCTTGTGCCATATGAGAGTCTTTGTGGCACGATAGGCATGTATGTTTAGCTGTAAAGTTCAACTGTAACCTTGACTTTGCCCTTAGGTTATCCAGACGAAACTGTCATCCCATTACTCTTTTCATTCTTGAGAGCATTTTTAAACCTCTTGCCCTTAACCATTTTCTCGATTTTGACAAGGTGTTGCTTTAGGCTGCTTTTGCCCTAGCCTTCCTTGGCTTCTTTTTGGGAGGTGCAGTGGCCTTATGGTTAGTGCCCTTGACTCCAGATCGAGCAGTCCAGGTTCGAGCCCTGGCGACGTTCTGTTGTGTTCTTGGACATGGCACTTTCCTCTCACAATGAATCTCTCCACCCAGGTATACAAATAGGTACAAGTGCTGGTTAATGCTGGGGGGTAACCCTGGGATGGACTAGCATTCCATCTAGCAACAACCATTCCGTCCTATACTGAAGCGATGCCTGGGTTTCCTTCATGTGGGTGATTAACCGTAGTCACATCCACTTCCCCCCGCTATCATTCCTCCAGGAGCTCGGGATGGGTACATGCCACTCTCGTGGCACGCGTCTCATGGTCTTATAAGCTTCTCTCTGAGATTAGCCCCAAGTACAGGCCTCGTGTAAAGCAGGCAACTCTCGGGTCTAGAAGAGCCCCCTTCCTTCTCCCACTCTCTTTTTATTGTGCCTGACGTTAAGTTGGTGTTCTGAAGACAACATGTTTGAAAATATCTTCTTGAATGGGAGCATTTGCTATTGGCTACTATATTTAATGACATTAATTATGACATTTTAATGTTAAAAGTTTCTAATCACATTATTTTACGGATTAAGTTACAGATGCTGCAGGAAATAGCCTAAGAGCTGATGGTTCAAATGGAATATCGCAGGACCCATCATCCCAATCAGGAAACGTTCATAATGATGAAGAAGCTATACTTCAACATGAACATAATGAATTTACGCATCGTGATCCTTTAGGAGTTCCTGGTGATAAACATGACAGTGGAAATTCCCGTAAACATTGTCAGAGTAACAGCCGTTCTTCAGGACGTTGTGGTCCCGTTAACAACCCCACCCAAGGTGGTAAAGATCAAGACCGTAGACAGATTTCGAATAAAGCATTGGCATGTACTGCCGAAACGCTACTGGCTAACTGCCTAAAGGAACTTCAAGAAAGGATGACCGCAATAACAGAGCAACATACTAAAAAGATCGATGGAGTAAGTGGTCTTCTAGGTCGTCTGCGTGTATCAAAGCACATCCGTTTGGAAGATTTTGAACGAATACGCTCAGAGAGAGATGCTTTAAAGCAAAAGAAAGATGAGCTACAGCTACAGAAGGATGAATTTCAACATTTTAAAACTCAGATAACTTCTTGTCTGCTTGACCAAAGCTGCCAGCCGTTGTCACGTGTAAGGGGTACAATCAAGGAATTGAGGACTGCTGTTGACAGAGAATGCCACAGGCTTGAGGCAGCCCTTCCAATGTACGCACGAAAAACCACCATCATTAACACTGTCAAGCAAAACCAGGTTTGTGTTGTTCTCGGAGAAACTGGATCTGGCAAAAGCACTCAGATGACCCAGTACCTCTACGAAGCAGGTTTCGCTAAGAACGGCCTAATCGTTTGCACTCAGCCAAGAAAAGTTGCTGCCACTAGTTTAGCAGCCCACGTCGCTGAGGAAATGGGTGGAGTCGTCGGACAGGTTGTCGGTTGCCATGTAGGAGGGAACGTCCAAGCAAGTAAGACAACTGGTATTATTTACGCAACAGATCACATTCTCCTCAATGAATGCCTGAGAGATCCCAATCTATCCAAGTATTCTTGCATAATTATCGATGAGGCACATGAACGCAGCCTTTTCTCAGACCTACTTCTTGGAATGATCAAGAAAAGCCTAGCACAAAGTCCCGAGCTGCGAGTGGTCATCACTTCCGCTACCATTGATCCTGCTCTCTTTGTGGCTTACTTTGATAAGTGTCCAGTTTTGAAGGTGTCTGGTAGAATGTTCCCTGTAGATGTCGTATGGAAAGATGGTCCAACAAGCAATGCAGAAAACTATCTGCAAGAGGCTGTTAATGCAGTTCAGGAAATCCACCGCAAGGAAGGTCCAGGAGATATTCTAGTGTTTCTTACTTCCCCAGTGGAAACAGAACGCGCGTGTGAAAAGTTAGGAAAGATGGAGTCTGATCCAAATCTGGTGTGTCTCCCGCTTCATGGAAAGTTACGTCAAGAAGAGCAGAGGAGGGTGTTCGAGGAAGGCGCAGGCAAACGAAAAGTAATATTTGCAACGAATTGTGCGGAGACGTCCATTACTATTCCTGGGATAAGGTACGTGGTGGACACAGGCATGGTAAAAGAAATGACGTTTGACCCAAAACGTAGCAAAAGTTCTTTGGAAGTAACAACCATTCACAAGAGTTCTGCTGAGCAACGCAAAGGACGAGCGGGAAGGACACAGGCTGGAAAGTGCTATCGACTTTACAGTGAGGAAGAGTACTCGGCAATGGAAGATCGATCTAGACCAGAGATTCTGAGAGTCCATCTAGGGCAGGCAATGTTAAAACTAATGGAACTGGGCATCGAAAATGTGACAGAGTTTGAGTTTGTGGAATCACCGCCACTGGTATCAATAAAACTTGCCTTAAAGGACTTGGAATTGCTGGGAGCCACTGCTGATGGACAGCTTACAGGACTTGGCCACAAGATTGCTCGAGTTCCATTGGAGCCGCGGATAGCAAAGCTGTTATTTGATGGCATTGATCAAGGAGTCGGTGCTGAAGCTTTGGCTTTAGCAGCCATTGCAACTGTAAGTGGTAGCGTATTCTTCCGTATGGGCAGCGAAGAGGAGAAGCATATGGCTGACAGTAGAAAAGTCGGTTTCTGTCACAGTGGTGGTGACCTGTTGACGTTGCTAGAAGTGTACAGGCAACACCTGAAGCAACCTAAAGGAAAGCGAAACAAGTGGGCCTACGACAACAGCTTGAACGCAAAATCGCTTCGCTTGGCAGATGAGACAATCAAAGAGCTCAAGTTGGCTTTGAAGCACGAGCTGAACATTAGAGTACCTGATGCTATTCAACAGAATGAGGGTACTGACCTGAAGCTGCAAAAGATTTTGGTATCATGTTATATCGCCAATCTTTGTGTGTTCACTGGCCACCAGAAGGCAGGGTACAGAGTGGTGGCATTCAATCACTCTGCGCAGTTACATCCTTCTTCAGCTCTTAAGTTCCTCGGAGAAACACCTCAGTTTATCGTTTTTGAACAACTCCTTAAGACATCTCGAGACTTTGTCATCAATGCAACCCCTGTAGAAGAGACGTGGCTTCAAGAAATGATTTCAGAAGGAACTGTTAAGTCCGATTTCGAAGAACTGATGTCGACAGTGCTAACAGAGGTTGCTTTGCCCTGTAGTCGAGACCTGATGGCTTTAGCGTTTGGAGGATTCCGAAGACGGATGATTGATCAAGTTGAAGAGAAAGTGTCTAAATGTTGTGATGGTAGTTTGGTTGTGCTAGAGAAGAACGAAGAATTAGGGCAAGTGAAAATCTTTGTGCCACCAGTCCACGTAGTCAAGGCTCTCTCTGTTGTGGGATGCCACTTGGAAGAAAACAGGAAGTTGCTAAGAGGCGAGCAAAAAGAAGTGTATCTAAAAGAAGATTGTCAGAGCAGCAGAATTGTTTGGGGACAAGGCGGAGAAGTACAGGAACTGCTTATGCCTCATATGTATCGAACTGTGACAGTCGGTGAGATACCAGATGGTAACGCCTTGGTCGTCTTAGATTTCTTGAAGTCGTTTGGAGAGATTGTGAAACACAATTTCAAGGAGCAGAATGGCAAGATGCGATTGTTTGCCACTTTCAAACATTCTGAAGACGCGGCCATGGCAGTGAAGGTCTCTGCCAGTAACCCACTGGGCATGGACGAAAAAGTGAAGCCGTCCCAGGCAATGTCTGATAACACACATTCACAAGTCCCTCAGTTTAAGGTGAAAGCCAAGTGGCTTCGACGTCTTGGCAAAGGTACAGGGTCCATTGAATTTTCCACTGATGAAGATTTCTCTCAGTCGTTTAGCAGTCTTCACTTCCAGTCGCTAATGATAAAATCATCACTGGTGGCATTTCGAGTAGACAAGCATCGTGAAAGGGCGCTTTTTATGAGAGGACTCCATCCTGAAACTTCAGTGGAGGATGTGAAGTCTGCTATCGAAGGACGGCTACCCAATGTGAAAGTGAAAAACGTGTTTATCCATCGATTAGCAGAATTTCCTACTAGCGATGAAACCCTTGATTCACAGACGTTATCCTTTCAAGAACGTCTCCACACCTTTGCTACAGAAGGCCAATTTTCCGTTCATTTGAGAAGACCTTCACCTAAAGATTTTGAGGGGCATGCCTATCTGACGTTCCAAGACGCCGAGGAGGCTCATGCAGTCGTGAGAGGTCTTAGTGGACAATGTATCTTTGGTATTGGAATCGTAACCCTGCAACCCATCCTTTCAACTTTCTTGCTGTGTTCAAAAAATGTCTTCACTGTCATCGAAGATGAGCTGCGCGCAGTTGTGAAGGAACTAGATATGATCTTTGACAAGAGACTCGTTATGAAACTAAACAAGCAACGCAAAGACCAACGAGTTTCCATCAAAATCCAAAGTGACTGCACGGAGCTCTTTATTCGAGCTACAACAGTATTCAACGAGATCCTCAACGGAGACCGGATTGACTGCAAAACGTCGAAAACCTTGGAAATTTTAATGACCAATCAAGTGCAAGACGTCTTGCAATCCATCCAGAAAGATACCGGAACAGTAATCAATCAAGATTGGAAGAACAGAGTTGTCAGAATACATGGAAACGAAGCCAGTCGAGAATCAGCCAAGCGCGCAATCAACAAGTTTCTTGAAGACTCCATCGCAAGTAACATTCACCCATGGGAGATTAAACTTCGGGAACCTGGGAAGCCACGCGGGCTGATGAAAGCTCTTTTTAAGAGATTTGGTGTAGATCTCAAAGGACTGCAGGACATTCCTGGTGTCCAGAAGATCCATGTTGAATTCCGCAACCACCTGCTTAAGATCCAGAGTTCCGATGAAGCTCGAGAAACAATCAAGCGCTACGTGGAAGAATGTTCCGAAACTCTTCCCAAGGAATCATCCCTTTTACCATCCGAAGGTCAAACCCAGCTGACTTGTGGTATCTGCCTGTGTGATGCGGACGACACAACTGATTTATACAGACTTGCGTGCTGTGGCCATAGCTACGACAAGAGCTGTGTTATCCAGCAACTGAAATCTGCAGAGTTTCCACTTCAGTGTGCCACAGAAGATTGTGAAGAGCTCCTTGTGTGGAGAGATTTGCAAAATCTGTTGAGCGAAAAGGAGAGAAAGAAGCTTGCTGTCAGTGCCTTGGACGAGTATGCCAAAAGGAATCCTGAAGTGATTAAGTATTGTCCAACTGCCGACTGCGGTATGGTGTACCGTGTCTCAGCGGAAGGAAGACGCTTCACTTGTTGCGCATGCCTAGCCGAGATCTGCACGTCTTGCCAGGTGCAGTGGCACGGCGGGCTCACTTGTGCCATGTTTAAATCAGGAAAGCAGGTAGAGGGACGTTTAGAAGAGTGGATGATGAAGAACCCAAGCAATAGGAAGAAGTGTCCCAAATGTAAGACGCCAATTGAAAAGAATGAGGGCTGTAATCATATGACATGCTCTGGGTGTAAATCGCACATGTGCTGGCTGTGCCTGGAGGTGTTCCCAACAGGAGGCCAGGTTTATGATCATCAACGATACTGTCCGAAGCGTTAAGAGTGTGAACCGATTTCTTCTCTGCAACTTAAGAGTATATCCTCTTTTGTGATGTTTACGACCGACGACACTGGTAACATCCTAGCAGTCTGTTATTATTAGATTTGTGTAACGTTTTCCTAGATGTCGTCTGCCTTTATTTCGAGGATTAAAACTTGCTACATAGAGAGCGCTTAACGTGTTTCGGCACAAGAGGATATTGAGGAATGAAATCGTAAAATTCTATGCATATCTAGATCCGCCATCCAGTCCATATGGTGAGTGTACTGTTTATACTTGATGTTTTAGCTTCAGAAAGAAGATATATCAAACACGCAAGACACTGTTTTACCACATTTCAAAGACCTCGAAGGATTTCGAATACTCCGCTGCGCATCGAAAATTTAATTTTCTTCTCGTTTTGGAATAGCCTGCTGAGACTGCGTCAGTCTACACGGCCGGTATTATATAGACCCCCGTGTATCGACCATATCGAGGATTTTGTGGCACGTTCGGCTGCACCGCTGGTTAGGTTCGGGAAAGTGGTAAAACTAAGTTTAACCTTACAGCTGATAGTCGTGACCAATACGATTCAAAAATGGGGTATGTCTTTATCTCCATTCCTAAGAACAAGAATTTGTTTCCAAAACTTCCACACCTTACACGAGTAAAATTATTCGAAGGCAAGAGGTGACGCATCATGACGACCTAGTTTTACAAGGGCAAATATTAAAGAGCGGAGTTATTATTTGATTATCTCAAGGGTGTTCCAAGCACCCATGGTGCCTCCCACAATCTGAGAAAGAAATAACTTATATGGCCTCTGAAGTGCTTTTATAGCCGTAAGACCCTCAAGAGTGCAAAATGGAACATCACCTTCAGTTAGTCAGTACTTTGTCAATTTATTTGAATATCTGGCAGCACAATTTTTAGGAAGATTTGCTTTTCGAAATGATGAAATTGGACCTCCACTTATATCTGACATCAAAGACCATTTCTGTAGCCTTTTGGAACTTTTTTGTGGATATATTGAACTGTTTCTGGTAATGGTGTAACTTTCAGGTTTGATGTGATTTATGTGATACAGTCTGTAACTTGTGATCAGCTGTTCTTTTTTCACACGGAGGCAGAAGAAAGAGAGGAAGTGGAAGGAGCACATTCGTTGGACAAGTTGTCTACTCTCCCCAAATTTAAATGTCAACTGACATGTCATAGATGTCATGATAAGTTTGGGCCAGTCAGAATTTACCAGAGATCATGTTTGTTTCTGGTTACATTTTTCAGATGTCCAAGGTCGTTCGCAGCCCCTCTCTCTCCTCTCTCTCAAGGGGTAGGGAAGGGGCCGCGAATGACCTCGAACGTCTGAGAACCAGGCTACATTTTCCTCCTGAATCATCAATGGAGGATATAAATTTGCTGGAAATGGCATTTGTCTCTAGTTAACAAATAGATTCCATGTTGTAAAGCTGGGTTCCCACTACTGATGCAAACATAGGCATAAGCATAAAAAAAGGCGATGCTAGTGAGGATGGCTGCGACATGAGCATAAGAATATCAAAACCTTAAGTTCCTATTATGTTGCTATTGTGTCAATCAGTGAGCACTTTATGCTTATGTCAACCATGTTCTCAGCGTAAGTGTAAGAAGAAGGCTTATGCTTATGTCTTGGCCTTCCTCACTGGCGCATATGCTTCTTATGCTTATGTTTGTGTCGCAAGGGAGGACTGGGCTTAACACATCACAAATTGCACCAAAATGTGTTAAGAACAAGTGTCACATGAGGCGATATTGAGTGTACCACTGATGTTACACACATTTTGATGTCTTCTGTGATCTACTACTGAACAGATGCACAGCAACATGAAACTACTTGTTTTATATAACAAAGAAACAATATAGAATGTTAGTGATGTCACCTATGCATCTGTCCTCTGATAGATCATAAGTAAGAACCAATCAAAATGCAAGAATTAGTAAGAACCAATTAAAATGTGAGAATTACTTGACATCTTATATAAAAGCCCAATTGATGTCATTTGAATGTTGGCATTTGGATATCTTGGAAAAGTTAAAATGGGGCCCTCATGGAAAATGACATGCCAGTATAAAAGGGGGTTGCCTGCTCCCTAATTTGAAATTTGGTCTTCCAGCCTATTTTGCTTCACAATTTTGATGTTTTCCCTCTCTTCCACTGCTGTGGAAAAAGAAAAATACCTGATTGCAGGTTACACTGATCAGCAGAGAGACTTAAAAAAATATTCCTATAGATGACATTTAGATTACAGACATTAAGGAAAGAAAGGAAAAGGATTAGTATGAGGAGAGGTGCAGGAAATCCTCTATTTTCAAGCATTCTAGTTTGCACACTCATCATTACAAGTTCAAGAAAAAGTTAAAACTACATGTAGTAAGAAAATTCAAGATGATGCCAAGGCATGGCAAGATAAGACACACCAAACTGTGAACTACATGTATACAATCACATTTCAACAAAAACATTTATATTAGAACTAAACAATAAAATGTAACAACTTATTATTGCAAAGTTATTTGTTTTATTTTAAGCTGATCTAGCCTTCTCAACTTTGAGGAAACCCAAACTCCTGAAGAATAAACTACAATACCAGAAAGACCTTAACTGTAGCAGAAAAGGGTCAAGATGGTAGCACATATGAGTAAAAAGATAACAAAACGCCAATCAAAAGTTTATCCCATCTTTACAAAGAACTTATTTTCCTCTGATCCAAGCTTCTTTTAGTACTGTGGCACTTTTTGGTGCTTTATACCTGGGTTGAAAAGATCTTTTAGTTGCTGCAGGTAGTGATGGAAAGTCCCTCTCGGATATATCATTAGTTTTTGTCTCCACATTCCAAGCTGTGGCCCCACTTTGCCACACCGCAGATGTAGCCATCTTTTTATGTGATTTTCCAGCTTTACTTTTGTGCTCTCCTTGTTGCTTTGCAGTAATTTTGGCATCTTGATGAGCAATTAACAGTTCTTTTTTTCTTTCTGGGTCAGGCAATAAATCAACAAGTTCTGAAAAAACTTGTGAGAAATTTGACCCAAAGAGTTCACAACAGTGGGCATAATATTCTGTAGCAGTACAAGCATTTTGCCGAAACTTCCCAGACAATGCCTTAAACTCACCAAATTTAGACTTATCGTTTCCCAGTAAACCTCTTATTTTATCAACTAGCGCTTGATTTCTCTCTTGAACACTGTTCATTTTCACCTCGGGTTTAGGTGCTGGCCCCTCCTGTAAGGGTGCCACATTTTCCTTAACCTTTTCTTTTGCCAACATAGGTGTCTGAAAACCTGGAGGTGGCTTAGCACGATAAGTCTGCTGTGAACCAGCTAATGATGGTTGCCGAGCTGCTGTAGCAAACCCAGGAGGTATAGCTGGTGATTGCTCTGGTACTTGTGCAGAGGCAGCCAAAGTGGGAAACTCATCAGCAGAGTGCAACTGTGCAGCACTGGCAGCTTTACCATATATACTAGGTTTACTGGGTTTCTTGCTATCCTTGGCCACCTCACCCACACTTTTAACCTCCAGAGAACCAAGTAAGGCAGGAAATTGTCCAAGTTCCTCTGTGCTTTTAGCAACTGGCTCTCCAGTAGTTTTGCTTTCCTCAGGTTTGTATTTTTTGGGGTCTTGTGGTTTAGCCGATGGTGAAGGCAGCTGAGAAGGGTCTTGTGATGATCCACTTAATGAACGAGCCATTGCAGTTTGCAGATCTAGAGCTTCTTTCCTACAAATAAGACAACCGTTTGATAGTGAAAACAATACTGTACAAAGCTTGCAAAGTGACTTGTAATCACAGTGTTTGGCTGAAAAGCTACAGTACAAGTAGAACTTTTTCATCTAAGAGAGAGCCAAGGGAAGTAGCACTTTTCACATGCAATCTTGAAACACATTTAGTAGTGGCCAAGCAATTAACAGCCTACAGCCACTGGTGAAAAAACTATAAATCAATTTAAACAGGAAAGGTAAACCAGCAAAAGAAAGACTCGATAGGTTTTTAATCTGTTTGCCAAAATTGGAGAGTCTGCTCTGTTGTAATTCTCACAGTAATAATTATTATCATTTGATGCATTTTTTTCTTCCTTTTCATTGGCCAAGAGCCAACCATGAGACATTCAAATTACTGCCTACAAAATAATGGTCTGCTCATGTGTAATTGTAACCTTGCTCTCAGCTGAAAAGTGGCAGATCACCTCCCCTGAGCTGTCAGAGAGTGATTTAAATATGAAACAAACTTGGTGATCGAATGATAAAATAATAATTATTGAACTTGGTTATTGCAAAATGTAATGATTTGTCACTGACAAATCAAATACTTTGTTCAAACTTGATCAATGATTGTTAATTGTGAGAATTATTATCACATATATAATTATTATTGTGAGTAACCTGTTAGCTGTATCCTTTCTATTCCCTCCTTTTTCTCTCTTTCCCTTCCGTTGGTCTGAGGCTCTCACTTCCATGAAATCCCTGCCTGTAACAACTGAACCTTGATTTGTCTGCGAACTAGGACGAGGTGCAAATGTGATGTCAATATCTAGTTGCCTAGCTTGGCGAGCCTGGGCTTTAGTTAAGTTTCCTGAGTGCTTTGCCGCACGATGGGCTTGAAGATCAACCTTCGTGCGAAAGACAGAGGTGAACTGCTCATGGACACAGTCATCTTCCTCACAAAGGAAGTGAAAATCACGGAAGTGGACCCTGAGATATTCATAATTAGGATAGTAATCTTGACTGCCATCCCGCTCACAGAAGTGACACCAAAAATGATCCTTGCGCAAGTGCTTGTGTAGTTCATCATTGTCTAGATAACGGTGGTCACAAAATTCACACAAAGGATGCCCCTTGTGCGATTTGTCATCTGCATCACCAATTCTGCGGTGTCGTGCCAGTTCCGGACGAGTGTACACTTTCAACTCACAGCTGAATTTCTGTAAATGGGCAACACAAAGATCACAAAAGAACTTTTCATGTTCTCTCTTCATGTGGTCACGAAGACGATCAAAGCATCTGTCTGGTGGGCGATCTGGGCAGAGCTGGCAACGATGCTCCAGGAGTTCTTTTACCCTCATTTGGATCTCTTTCCGCTGGTAAAAAATATGCTGCCTCTTATCAACCACAAAGGAACTCTTTCTGGCAGCAAGTTTAACATAGGTGGTGTTATCTTTGGCCATAAATACCTGCATATAAGGACACAGAACATTGAAAAACACCGATCAAAAAATGTAACAGTATTTACTCATTGGAATTTATCTTTTGCATGGTCACATACATATATAAATTTTCCAAAAATAGCCTTGTTTTAAGAGAGTATCCTTCCACTTCAATTTGGCTGTTGGTTTTCGTCACACTAAGGTGTAAAGTTCTAAAAATAGGTTTTCTGTGCCTGTTCACGCTTCTGGAAACAATGAATGAAATTGTTTTGGAAGCTTAACTTTGCTAATTATGTGGCCGTCAGTCATTCAAGAAGCAAAGTGGTTAAGAAGTATTTAGTAGGCTTTGTCTACATAATCACAAGGCTAACAGATGAGCGAAACTACGTCACAGATCAAAATGCCGCTACAAGCAAATTTTACTTTCGTTTTAATCACTAACCAGTAGCGAGTTAATTTTCATATGATAACCAACCACTCCTATTCAAAAATGTCGTAAGGCGTCTGAGCTACAATGGGTAAAAACGTTCTCCTTAACTCATCTCACCTCTGGCAAATCACTCCGGCAAACAGGACAATAGGTTTCCTTTCCCAACACACGCATTCGAATACAACACTTGTGGCACACTGGATGGTCACATGCTCCAATGGCGAAATACTCAACGTCCTCGCAGCAAACAACACAAGTAACCACAGAATCTTTTCGAGCAAGTTTAGAACTCATATTTCTCAAGAATAAAGCACAGTTCTAGCGACAGAATAAGCGTAAATCACGCAGTAAAGATACCGATTAAGATCCGGTTAAAATATGGCCGCTCGATCAAAGGCTATGATGATGCGGATGTCCAAATATAGATATTGGCAATGATTGCATCACAACTCCGCCACCGGAAATACGTAATATTTTGTTGCTTTGAGGAATCGTTACTACTGATCAGCGGATAAAGAAAAAAACTATTATGGTCTATTACTGCCCGGTCTCTTCTGAGAACAGTAGCAGTCACAGAGGACAAACCGGTAAAAATGGTGCCTTTATGGAGGAGTGTGCCATCAGTTTCGAGGAGTTTAACCTGTAGAACCTCACCCGTGGTAAGTAAATATCTTTTTTCCTTGTCTTGTCCTATTTTGTTTGAGAATTTAGGCCGAGAATAACTTTGACTCTCTCGGTTCCAATTCCCCTCTGTGATATTATTGCTTTAGTTCCATGCCAAAAATGGTCTTGATTTGTTTGTAAAGTTCGAATTTCTGTTTAATTATTGCAGAAAAGATTGTATGCGTATGCAGCTTCACCTCTAAGTGAACCATTAGTGGATTTACAAGCTGAAACTGCGGAGGGAGTTGATCTATCTCCACAAAGTGTTCAGGTTTGTGAAACTAGGCACGATATATAAGGCTTATTATGAGCTTTGAGATGTAAGAGTTAGTACGATTGAAACCTCTTGCAAGGGTCTTGTATTGGGGAGAGCAAAGGTTCTTTTGTGAATTAAGAAGCAAGAAAACAAAAATTAGGAAAGTGTCCATTATAAGGCTCTTCTCATGGGATTTCAGTCATCATTATCATTATAGTTGTTTTCTTATTTGTAAAGAGGTTGACAGTTTGATGAATCCTTTAAATCAAGCATTTTCTGTGCATGTACATGTAAATTTCAGTCATGTATACTGGTTACAAAACCTTTGCTTGTTATTAATGTAAAACACTTTTACAGGTTACTACATTAGAAAACGGTCTCAAGGTTGCCTCACTAGAGACTCATTCTCCTAAGAGTAGAGTGGGGTTATTTATCGATGCTGCCAGTCGTCATGAAACACCAAACACACTGGGTATTAGCCACGTCTTGCGAAATGCTGCGTTTATGGTATGTGTCAAGTGTACTGTCTTCACCTACAGTAAATTTGTAAAGGAGTGCAATTAATTTTGCTACATGTATAGATCTGCATTTCTCGAGAGTAAATGAGATGGTGTTGAAGATGGGCTAGCTGCAGGAGCCAAGTCACTTTTATGCATGTTGATACTGCTTTGAGCTTAAAGTAGTTTTTTATACACTATAACTCTTAAGTTTGCTAAAATTAAACAGGTGAATATGTTTGTTGATACTTGCTCTCTTTCTTTTCTTGGTATCTTTAGGGTAACTTGGACCATACAGGATTCAGAATTTCAAGAGAGCTAGAACATACTGGTGCAAGTTTAGAGTATGTGTGTTTAATTGTTTCTTGTTGACTATCTTACATCAAGTAGTCATCTGGGTACAGTTGGTTATTTTGCATGTCTGGCATTCACAAAAGTCTTACATGTTCATATTTAATCAAATTCAGTTTAGCGAGGGTACAGT